ACATGCCTGGATGACAGCGTAAAACATTTATAAATCAGGCTCTAATGAACAGCCTCTGTGCTTTATGACTGCAGTTAACTCTTTCTCACTTCTCAGCAGATAGGAAAGAGGAAGAAATTGTATATAAATATAAATATATATGAAATTGTATATCATATATAGGAAAAATATATATATTTTTTTTCCCAGGAGAAAAAGAGAAAAAGCAAATTTGTGACACAAAAGGAATGAAGGGGGCCTGGCTCTCTTGATGTAGTTGTTATAGTCAATAATAATGATAATGGCTACGGCTAGTCTATTCAGAAGTCAATATGTGCTGGGCACTGAACTCAGAGTCATGCATGCATCATCTCCTATAATCCTAAAATATGGTACAGGGGAGGCTTAATTGCCCTCCCTTGACAGATACAAAACTGAGGCTCAGAGAAGCTTGGTAATTTGCCCTAAGTTCATAGTTTTTACAGTTGGTGAATGCCTAACATAGGTTTGTAAGGCTTTGAGATATTCAGCCCCCAAATCAATCATTAAGGTATAGCAAAAGATATTACTGAATCAGACTAGACCTAGGCAAAACTTGGGATCAGATGCCTGAACATGTTCAATTAGTTTTGACTTCAGATTTAATCCTCTGGCTAACAATCGTCAGTGGGAAGGAAGTCTTATCATCTCACTTTGGATAACAAACTCCGACAGTATCTTTAAGTTGTCCAAGGTCACACAGCTGATAAGCACTGGAGATGGAATTAGGAAGCAAGCATGTCTGACTTCAAAGCTGTGCCTTGTCCCTAGAACACCAAGGTGTTGAAGTGTGAGTATTCTCCTTCCCCATATGTGCACTCATACCTCTGAGTGCTCCCCACCACACATGAACACTTCTTGCATACTCTCTCCTTCATGATTTCTAAGGCGACTCGTCAGGACCTGCTGCAGCTGGCCAAGCCTCTCATGACAAGCCCTGTGTTCTCGGCACGCTTACAGAATGACATTTGTCCAGACAGCAGAGTGCCTTACCAAAACTAAAAGCTTTAATAGTAGCAACCTTTGACCCCAAAGGACAGCATCCCAAGTAGCATGGATTTATGGGACAGTACTCTTCATGGGAGATAGATTTAAGGGGAAGAGGGTTAAAGGCAACTCTCAACTTCACACTACTTCTGTATGATGACAACATTCTTTTATTAAAAGAGGAGATTTAACCTTAGCTCAGTGGCCCTGCCCTGTTCATGTTTGCACCCTAGTGCCTGGCACACTAATGCTCAAGTAGTGCCCATGAATAACCTTTGCACAGATGTGAACGTCTAGGTCATCACTGCCTGTGGGAAGCACCTTGCCCAGGGTGAGGCTAGAGCTGCTCTGGCATCCAGGGTGATCAGTTGTACTGGAAACATCTATCCATGGATTTATCACAGCTAGACTCATATATTAGTTCCTCTGAGAAACATTCTCCAATGCAAAAATTAGGTTAACGCTTTCCTATTCCATATGCCTTAGAGCATGCTTCCACTAATATAACAGCAGCACAGCAAAACAGGCAAGTGCTGAGCTTGGGCAGCAGTTGAGCCTAGTCTTGAGCATTTGTCCTACCATTTGAAAGGTGTATGAGCTTGGGAAATGTAAGTAGCCTTTTTCGAGGTTCTAATTCTTCTCTATAAGGTGGAGGTAATAATATTTAACTTTTAGAGTTTTTTCAAGGATTAAAGATAATACAACTGAGAAGCAGACCTGATAAGAAAGACCCAGTGGTCTGGAGTCCACATTCAGTAGTCTTTTAGACCTATCTTGACCACCTTAATTCACATACAAGTACACACTCCATCCCCCTACCCCACCCAAGTTTCCTGATTCTTCATGACACTTAGCACTTTCCAACATTCTGTAGATTTTACTTATGTTTGTTCTTGAACCTGTCCCTGTCACCCCAACTCCCTCCTGAGCATATAAGCTCTTAGAGAGCAAGGGGGTTAGTTTCTTTGTTTACTATTATGTCTCAGTGCTTACAACAGTGTCCTGGACATAATAAGTTGTCCATGAATGTTTGGTGAATGAATGGATGATTATTACCATGTTGTAGTTGCCAGTCTCCTGCTCCCGACACACATACACACACACACACACCACCTGCAAGGTGTGAACTGAGAACTGCTTGAAGACAGAAACTGTCTCCTGTTTTTCTCTGGCCCCAGGATTTAGTCCTGTGCCCAGCATAGTCTTAAAGTAATAAAGCTTTGGGCTGGTAAACTCCCAGTGATGTTCTCCAAGGCCCAATGGCATTGAGTTTTAAGAGTCTCTATTAAATCAATTTTCTGATACTTTTCTTCACTCTAGCTGCTTCTTCTGAGCATTTCTTTATTTTCATTCCAAGCTTTTGCCTTTTTTCCTTGTGATACCCTCTTATAGCACTGAACAGCATGTCTCCCTCCGGGAGGTTTATGTTGAATCTGTGCTACAGATACTGTATCCCCAGCATGGCCTTACATAATATTTGTAAAAGTGGTATCAGGGGAGCTTAGCCTGTGTATAGTGGATATAAGGCGTTACGTGGGCAGAGTGAAGAAGAGGAACTAGAAAGAATATTCTGGAAAGAAAGAAAAATTCTGGTAAGGGCTCATAAAAGCAAGAGCCCAAGACTCAGTGTTTTAAGTTCAAGAAAGCATTTGTGAAAGAAAAGACTCAGTTGTGGGATGTGGGAAAGAGCTTGTGGAATGTAGAAGACACAAAAAAGAAATAAATGAAAGAATGGATTCCAGGCTGTCTGGGGTGGATTAACTCATTATGCCAGTCAATATTTTTTGAGACCTTCTAGATTCAGGCTGCCATCCTGGGGACCAGGGATGTCCTGGTAAATGAGACGGACACCATCCCTGCCCTCCTGCATCTTAGAGCCTAGTATGGAGCCAGGTCTGAATGAAAGAGTCACATGAGTATATAAACAGTGGATGACTACTATCTGTGATGGCATGAGGTTCTGATCATTCAGAAGGGTCAAGGAAGGTCTCCCTAAAGAGATCACTCTTGAGCTGAGATTCAAAGACAAGGAATAGTTAACCAGGTAGAGGCAGGTGGAGCGAAGTGAAGAACATTCTATGCTGAGGGAGGCATATGGGAAAAGCCTCTGTTTAGAGAGAGACCATGTGAAAACAGATGAAAGAAGGCCACATGGCTGGAGCAAGGAGGCATGGATGTGGGCTCGAGATATGGGATGGGTGAGAATCCTGTATTGAAAAGTGATGCAGCCCATGAGAAAGATCGTGGCCTTTACTGGAAGGATGGGAAACTGATGGATGGGTGTAGCCAATGAGTGACATGACCACATTTGCAGTTTTTAAGTTCACTCTGGTTGACACATAGGGAATAGATAGTAGAAACAGGGTGCCCGGTTGGACAGTAATAGCTGAATCCAACTAGGAGATAATGGTGACCTGGACGGCATGCTGGCCAGGGGATGGATAAACTGGAGAGGGATTGAGCACATAAAATATACAGAAATTGGTGATAGAAACAATGAGACAGGTGACAGAGGTTTTCAGTCTGGGGTCTGGGTTTCTGGATTGTTCAGCTAGGTGGCTGGTGGTGCCACCAGCTGGGATGGAGGACCACTGGAGGAAGACCAGGTGGGCACAGAGGAGAGCACATGGGACTTTGGCACAAAACTAGGCTTCACCACTCTCTAGTCATGAAAATGTCTGCCATTAGCTTCACCACTTGGAACTCATTTGCTGCATTTGCAAGGTCAGCATAGTACAGTGATGCCTAGTCCATAGGATTGTTGCAAGAATAAGAAGAAACAAAATATCGAAGCGTGTATTGCAGTTCTGGCTCTAAGCTTATGTTCCACAGACAACTGGTCATTGCATTACTCAGGCTAGGTAACTAATTTTTTTGCATATCAGTTTTCTCATCTGTGGAATGGAAATAATAATGGTGACTACACTGTGCTTTGCTGTGAAGGACAATACATACACAGGGCCTGCCACAGAGTGGGTGCTCAATGACATTATTTATCAATAACAAAGTTCCAGAAGTGTATCCGTTTCCATTTGGCAGAAAGTGTAGGGAGTAACTGTGTGAAGGAACCAACTAACCACAAGCAATATAACTGCTTCACAAAGACATTTGCCTGTTTCTGTCAGTCTGTCTTTGCTAGCATAGCCTTAGATCTAGACCTCTACTTTCCAATCCATAAAATGGAGATAAGGTTTGTTTCAATTTTATCTCCCAGTAACCATGGAGAAGGTCATTGAAGAAAAGACTTCCCAGCAATTGGGGATATTTGTGCTATTATGGGTACAATAGAGCCCTGCTTCTAAGCACACTCAGACAAAGAGGATATTCTCCTTCAAAAATCTCACAGATAGTATCTCAGCCTCTGGGGAGGCAGGGACAGAGAAGCCAGGAGATAATGAAAGAGAAAGGGAGGAGGACAAAGACATAGCCTGGAGCTAACTGTGAAAGACAGTCGGCCTGCCTGCTGTCCACCCCTTTGCAGAAATGTCAAGTCAGGGCCCATCAGCACTGATGAGAAATCAGATATAGGGACTGTGAGAGGGTACATTCCAAGGAGTAATTTATCTCTGGAGGCTGAACCTATGTAATGTCCTTACTAATCTTGAGCTCCGGGGTTATAAAGCCTGCCATTAGGGATGAGTTATATTTTCAATAAGTCATTCTAGCTAATCAGACCCTCTCATCATGAGCTGCTAGAGAAGACTACACGATGAACCCCTCTGCAGATCTGAGCAGGGGTCCCACATGAGGAGAGAATCCTTGGCAAAGGCCTCTACCCTAAATGGATTCTGCTATCTCCCCTCCCCTTGAAATTGAGCAGAGGGAAACACAGACTTTGTGAGCACAGGAAGATGATGGGATCTGTGTTTGATAAGGTTATGATTAAATCAAGGTTTTTGCTCTAATTACACTGCATTTAAATAAATGCAGTAACTAATTGTAATTGATGTGCAATTAAACATGTATTTATATCACCATTGCCTTTCCCTGTGCAGCTGTCTATTCCTGCTTCTCACTGTGGCTGGGGATACTGAAATCTGCCTGATAGGAGGAGGAAGCACCACTTCTCCCACGTGGATGCCATGTGTCAGTGGTTCAGCAGGAGATCTAGTGGGACAGTGAGTAATAGCTGGATTGCTTAACCCCAAATCTTTGAGAAAGAAGACCCACACATGTCATTCAAGCTCTGGAACTCAAGGGGAACTCTTAGAAATGCCATTATATTCATAAACATATGGTGCTCTGGCTCTCCTTGGCTTCATACTAAGCTATTTGAGTTTTTTATTTATCAGATTTTCATATTCCTCAGTGTCTGCCCCCTCCCCCTGTGTTTCACACATAATAGCTGCCCGATAATATTGTGGAAACAAACTTTAAATATTAGGGTGGAATCTTCCACTGAATAAATATAATTTATGTTACTGAATTTAAGACTTAGACCTTGACCCTTTATTGGGAAAACTGGTAAAAATGATCAGTAACAAGAGCATCACAATAAGATCACAGGTCCTTCCACCCCATATTTCCCTGTCTCTGTGTGCCCTTAACCTTTGAGTAGAAGACAAGTTTCTCATCTCTGCATGCCAGATGGGCCATTAAACTAGGACCCAGTTGGGGGTGTAGCAAATCACAACTATATAAGATATCACTGAAGTCATCAAAAAGCAGTGATGGAGATCAAGGGCAGTTAAGGGGAACAAATTGCAACTATGTAATATTTTTCATGAGAATCATCAAAAATCAGTGACGATCTTTGAGATGCTAGGTGGAAAGTCTGAGAATTTCTATACAGGAGACAAGACCCTGATACTGCAAGATGGAGAAAGAGGAACAGGTAAGCAATTGCATGAAGATTCAAGTTCTATTTATATTTCAGTGAGCATTTATCAATGGCCTTTGCTAGAATAAATTATAAGGCTGAAGAAGATACACCCTTAGGATGTTTCTAGTCTCCACTACCAAAAGTTAGAAAACTGACTCAGGCAGAGGATGCAAAAAATGGAAATAAAATCAGGTTGTGTGCATGTAACACTGAGCTCCAAATTGACTGTTTATTTCGGACCTAGATGAACATCATAATCCTTTGGCTTGACTCCCCTGCAGCCCTGATGGAACACATCCAGTTGGGCCTCTTGTCACCCATCAGAGTGCTAATTAAGGAGCCAGAAAAATACCACAGTCCACCTCATCTGTTTGTGTTCTTCTGCTGAAAGGACACCATGCATCTCCCTGACAGCTAGTCATTACAGGAGCATATGGGCACATCAGGCTTCTGCCAGGGACAGCTAAGCCCCTAAGAACCCGAGCAGAGCTCTGAGCTATGCTGGCCTGTGTGTGTCCACTACCACTCCAGTGATACAAAGGGATGTACACCCCCATCAACTAAGATGGCTAGTGCAAGTTTTGATCTCCCAAAGGAGTGTGAGTCACCATGAATGGGGTGACAAGAGTTGGTAGACGGGGAAAATGCAGAGGAGGGAGAAACAGCTGGATTTGTGTTATTGCAACTCTCTCAGTTCCATTTCAGACCCAAGGTACTTGGAAGGTGCAAAATGACTTTCTGCATATTAAAAAGAAAAAAAAATTGCTGTCCTTTCCACTTTCAAGGCTCTTGGGTATCGAGCATTTCCCTATGCAATATTTTCTTTGACCTTTATCTTCTGGCAGAAATGATTATCTCTAAGTGACTAATTAAAAAAACACGGAGACCCAGAAAGGTTAAGGAATTCTTCAAGGTCACAGTACTGTGTAAATGACAGGGTTGGGAGCAAAACCCAGGTTTTCAGACTTTTGGTCCAATGTTCTTTAAAAGCCAGTCAAATAAATGGGCACAAGGGATATTTTAAGAGTGACGGAAATGTTTTAAAACTAGATGTAGTGATGGCTGCACAACTCTGTAAATTTTTTTGAAATCATTTCATGCTTTAAAAGGTGACTGTTATGGTATGTAAATTGTATTTCAATACAACTCTGAAAAATAAAGGCAGCCAAGTGTAGTAAGTAGAGCCCAGGCTTTGGTGCCATTATTCCACAGTGCAGATCCTGATTCTAGCTCTTCTGCCCTGGGCAACATTGGGTAAGTTCTTTAATTTCTTTAAATATCAATTTCTTCATCTGTAGAATTGGAATAATATTATCTAATTCCTAAGATTGCTGTGAGGATCTAGCACTAAAGCAATAATAGCTAATTTTATTTCTTTTATTTCTGATGACTAGAAATTGAGATATAAAAAATAAAGTAATTAGCTCTCTACTGCTTGCTTAATTGCTAATGCTTATTTGTGGATCTTGTATGAGCATTAGACATGTAATACTGTTTTGATTGTTTTGGTCAAAGGTCTAAATTGGTGCTTTTAATTGGCATTCAACTATCAAAAAAACAGTGATTTGGCATACCAAGGAGAAATAAATCTTCGTTTTCTCCTAAACTACTTATTTTAAAACTTGACTGGTCATCTAGGGAGTTATCAGAATTCTGATGCCTTGGCCTCACCCCAGATATTCTGATTTAATTGGTACGGGGTGTGGCCTGGGCTCTGAGATTTTTGGAACTTTCCCATGTGATTCTAATTGCAGCAGAGTTGAAGAACAAAAACTCATTGGCTTTCAACTCTGACCACAAATGATTCACCTGGGAAGCTTTAAAAACAAGGATGCCTGAGTCTCATGACCAGAGATTCTGATTTAAATGGTCCAGGGTAAAGCCTGTGCGCTTTAAAAGTTCCCCAGGTGATTCTAATATGCAACCAGGACTGAGAGCCACTGCTTCAAACCTTTGCAATAGGCAAGATGCCTTCTAGGTAGGAGATAAGGGATCTACTCCACAGCAGCCTGCCTCATTCCTCTTCCCTCCTTCCAGGAAAGAGGTTCACAGGATGGCATGTTGAGCACTCCATTAGATGTTGACCTGGGGTAACCAGCCATAGGCCTGCTCAACGAAACAAGCCCTGGGGCATTTAGAACCCCTCAAGGAATGTAGGAAGGGTATTTTTAAATGAAGATAATGTATCTTGCAAAAAGGGGCATTGGGAGGGTAGCTTTAGTGTTAACTCACATAATCTATGTAGTGCCTGGGGGCTTGCAGGTGGATCAGAATAGAGTTTTCAGATGGGGCGGGGGATGTCTTAAAGTGATTTAGGAGACTCTCAGGAAATGGACTGATATAGTTTGGCTCTGTGTCCCCACCCAAATATAATCTCCAATTGTAATCCACATGTGTGGAAGGAGGGACATTACTCTCAGTGAGTGGAGAGAGGGAGGTGTTTGGATCATGGGGCAGTTTCCCCCATGCTGTTCTCACAATAGTAAATGAGTTCTCAAAAGACCTGATGGTTTTATAAGTGTCTGGCATTTTCTCTGCTTGCACTTCTTTCTCTCCTGCCCCTTGTGAAGAAGGTGCCTGCTTCCCCTTCCACCATGATTGTAAGTTTCCTGAGGCCTCTCCAGCCATGCAGAACTGTGAGCCAATTAAACCTCTTTCCTTTATAAATTACTCAGTCTCAGGTAGTATATTTATAGCAGTGTGAATGCGGACGAATACATGGACCATCCATTCATCCATCCAACAATGTTTATGTAGTAGTTCCCCTGCAGTAAGTACCATGACAGTGGTGAGCAAAACAGATGCAGTTGTCTTTTTACAATTGAACAATAAAAAATAAAAACAAAAACTTGCCACTGCTGCAGGCAAACCATTCACCAAAATGAGTCTGAACTTCCCATTACCTCCCTCTTTCCATCTGAAATTCAAATTTCTGTTTGCCATTCCAGCAGCTCGCGGAGTACGTCTCCTACATCCTTCATGTGTGCACACTTCTCAGGGACCCCACTGCTCATCATCCCCATGTCGTCCCCATCCAGGTTCAAGTTAATACCCTCCCTTTCTTTCCTGCTACTGCCCCTGTCCAGGCCCAGATTCTTGATTTTTCAAGCTAGTTACCACTCTAGAGACTCTGAGGATGGAAGAATTTGAGGGTTTCCTGAGTCAGATAGAACTAATCTTTGCAGATTTTGTTGGAAAAACTTGCTCTTATAATAAAGATGTTTTCAGGAAATTCTGGGGATACAGAAAGTTGTGCCCACTAAATGGGTTTGATATATATCTTATCACTTCAAACAGATCTCCTGTTTTCCATGCCCAGGGAAGAGCAATGATGCTGTGTCCTTGACCAGGTGGTGGACCTTTCTGTCCTCACTGTTTGCCCCCATCAAAATTGTTTAAAACCCCTCTCCTACAGGGTTAGGTGGGCAGAGTGAGCCAGTTCTAGCAGACTTAGCTGTGAGATAGAATCAGCTCCCGCCCCAAATCCTAGAGATTTATAGTCTCAGGAATCAGAGAACCCATAGGTTCAGCTCTCAATTTTCTCCCAGGGCTTTATAGGCAGCACTCCTTTCTTCCACTTCTTGCTGTCTTTCCCAAAATAGTAGATGAGGGTGATGCTATCAGGAAAGCACTTAGAAGGGATAAGAGTAAGTGATCCTTCCATTGCTGTGATTGGTGACATCACTCACCCTTAATCAGATGGTCTAAAGCAACTTATAAATCTAGTTCCTTCAATAATTGACCAAAAAGCCTCTCCAAACGCATTATAGAAGTGATGGCAGAAAATTATTATTGATTTCCTATACTCCAGTTTCTTTATCAATAAAATGGGCATGGCAAATAATTAAATATTATGCTTCACACAGTATCAAAGTAAAATAAATATTACTATTACTATCAATGTTGACTGGAAGGAAACTATCTTTTCATTTTCTTTTTGTTTTAGCTTTTGAAATGATTACATGATATGCAGCATAATAAGTAAATACCTGCTATGTGACAAGTATTTTTTTCAGCATTTCTATTATCTCATTTAAGTCATACAACAATATATAATCCAGGTATTCTTATCCCTCCCATTTTATAGTTAAAGGAAATGTTCAAGGTTAATTTAGGTAACCATATCAATAATGATTCTCTGTGTTAATAAGAATGTTTGGCAGAGCCCAGAGGAAATGAGGGTGGGGAGAAGATGGGTTTTGATGCAGAAAGAATTATCTAAAACAGGAGCAAACAAAACAAAGAGAGGCAATATGGGTGCAGTGGAGCACCCATGGTATGAGGACTGTTGGGTACTTGGTTCTTGGGCAAAGATGTGTTTATAAAATGGCATGTGATCAGTGCTATAGGAAATGTGTGAAAAACAGGAAGGGAGCGGGAACAGAGATAAGACTGGGAAGTCAAATAAAGCAATGCATATTGGTAATTTCTCTAACATTTAATCCATGCCATGTACAGACACTTTTTAATGAAATAATGGATGAAGAAATGAATAAGTAATGTCCATAGCCTAAGGCAGCAAGAACGGTGACATCTTGCTACTTATCAAGCCCTGAAAATGACTGTCCCTTTTGAACCCAGTTACCAGTACCTTTCAGCTCCACTAAATAGGTGTTTTACACATGGGAAACAGCTGAACAGAGTTCTCTTATCATTTCCATTGAATGTGGTTGTGTTGAGGGAGATTGAGCATCACACCGGCACATAGGTGACTACCTTTATGCTATGGAAACTACATAGCAATAGCATTAAAGTTCCTAGGCCAAAATGGCTGAACAGCATAGCAATGGGAAGATTAACAATTTTTTTCTTATTTTCAAAATTGTAAAAGACCAAGAAGAGCAGCTTCTTCTATGACTTCTCATTAAAATTAAAGCATGATGTCGACAGAGGCCTCACTCCCTCTGCTTCTAAACAAGCACAGTGTTGCCGAGGCAGGAGATCCTTGCTGTCCTGAATGCTACCCAGCACACGCTGCCTAGGATGAGGATCTGGGCACAGAAGCTAATGGGAATCGCCCCTGCAGAGCACAGATACTAAGCCTGGCATAATCTGTGCCATGCCTGTCACTTCTGGAGCCTGTGAAGGAAATTGGCCAGAGCTGCTACTCTCTCTATTCTAGGTATAATTTCACTTTTATCCATAATAAGGTCCATCAGGATTTAGGCAATTTTATTCTCACATGATTTGCTATTCTGATATTTTCCTCGTGATTGGCACAAGATCAGTCAAAAAAAAAAAATAGAAAGCCATCACCTTATTTTCATAGCTCTTTGTTCTGCTTAGCAAATGCCCTCAGACTCAATAACTGCTAGTAATTCTTATTTGAATTATCTAACCCCATGCTGATTTGTGTGCAAGTCTTCTAGTAGAAGGAATGGCTACTTACTATTCCGAATGTGATCCCAGTGTGCATAGCAGCCTGGCTGCTTCAGCAGCCAGAGGAACTGCTTCTTAGGGACTCTTCCCAGGGACTTGCAATTTGCTGAGGCAAAGCAGAGAAAGCTGCATAAACTGAAACCATGCAACATTGAAATGTGCTGTAGGGTGGAATCATTTAGAAGTTTACAGCACCAATCTTTTCTCAATCTCCTTCAGAACTGGTGATGGATAAGCAAGGCATACTCAGATTAGCTCTCAATGAGAAAGCTTTCCTCACTAGACAATGACTAGCCCTGCATATTCAATCAACACCGAGCTTTGAATCCAGAGGATCCCTACTCAAACTCCAGTTTGGCCACTTAATAGCTCTGTTATTTTAGGCAGGTTGCTTTATTACAGTTGCTTTCAGTTTCCTCATCAGTAGGGTTACAAAGATAAAAGGGGTGGTAATTTGTAAAGCACCTAAAATGGTATCTGGAGCATGGAAAGTACTCGAGAAATATTAGCTATTATGGATATTATTATAATCTCCTTTTCCCCTATGTATATTGCTACCATAAAAAGTTTGAAGATAAATATATTTATGATATTAATTTCAAATTTCTTCCATGGAAATTTAGTCTAATGCTTTGTCTCACTATTTTTCTACCATGGATCATCAGCCTGAGCCCAAACAAAATCTATTAAAATGCTCAACTCTTACTGTTGCCTATTAGAAAAAGGATGATATAGTTTCAGGTAACCCATTCTACAGAGATAAGTTACAACTGCTTGAATGACTGAGACCATACTTGCAGTATTATGTTTAGTTCTTAGGACCATGTATTATAAAGGGGTATAAGT